AGCAAAATTTAGATATCGTTTGAATTGTAGAACAAGTACATCGAGCTTTGAAAGGTATTTAAAATTGAAGAAGTGAAAGGAGATTTTGTTTTTGATTAGGTTAGAAGTTGTATTTGTAAGAAAGAAATTTGTTCTTTTGAATGATATGGCAAATTACGATTTTTTTAAAATCTTGAATAAAATTTAGACACTTTTTTTTAAGGTATCTAAGGCAAAATTGAAAATTTCGTTTTTGAATAAAGATAGAGTTAATACTACCTAACGAGTATCTTATATATTGGAATAATAAAGGTTAGAGAATATATTAAGATGGAATAGAAAATTGGACGAGAATTATCTTTTTATCGATGTTATTTGAATTGTAGAAAAGTCTCTAGAGTTTTTTTTATGTTTCTTTGTCTAGTAGCTTGAAACCTTGAGGCTAAAGAACAGAGATCTCTAATCTTTTAGGATATCAATTCATCCAAAATCTTCTCTTAGTCACAAAGGCAATAGAATCGAAAGGGGAAGGGATCTAATTCCTCTGACGAACGAAACGATGATTAAAAGGAGGAGAGCAATTTTGATAAATTTCGTGACTGTTTCGTGATCGACGATATCTTGTTTTCGACAGGTTTGAATTGAATTTTCCAGGATTTATCGCGAAAAAAGTTTGGACATGATAGGACTTTTGACAGCGCGTTGTATATTAACGGTGGATTTTTAACATTGGACCAGCATTGGCGGGAAACGGAAATTTATAACGTGACGAGAGCCAATCGATCGTCAATTGAGAATTGCATTTTTGCTGATATATCGCGAAACACTTCGTTATAAATTATCGACGTCCTCTCGTTTCCATGCTTGTACTCGTATTTAAAAATCCGCGTGTCACGAATCATCCAGACGGCCATTATTATTCAAAATTTTTTTTCGAAACCTGATTCACTCTTCCGTTCACCAGATATCGATAGTCTTTGTTCTTACGATCAAATTACAAATGCACAAATGTCACGATCATCCTTCCTATAATTCTTTATCAATTGCCGGATCACACATCCTCCTCCCTTCAATTCTTCCATTTATCAACCCTCTTTGACAGGATTCTGATTCTACGCGAAAGAAAGATTCGCGAGCTTACCCGTTCTCGGGGGGTGAGGGGCGAGCATTCATCGAGAACAAAAAAGAGTCGAGCACCCTTCTTCTCGCCCTTCCTCCAACTTCCTTTCTCGAGCATCATCTCGAAAACCGATAGCGCTACTCGCGAGCAGCGATCAGAGGGCTGGTTCGCAGACCTCCCTCCCCCTCCCTCTCCGCTTCTCTCATTAAAAATTCACATGGAATTTTATAATAAGTGGGAATTTTAATCAATCGGCCACTCGAGCCGTCCGGAATCTTTTTGCGAGGAAGTCGTAGACAGTCATCGCGTAGACAGAATCAGATCTTTTTCGTCCTCGAAACGGATCTCGAGCCGATATTTTCGCGACTATTTAGATTGAATCTTTTAGCTTTCTCGTTATACACTTTCGTCGCGTGAAATCGAAGAATTTTTAATCCGAATTTTGTGTAGAATTTCTTTGTTCGAGAAAAGAAGCATTTCTTAATCGTTTCGACGAATTTAATTAGAAATTGATTCTTCGACATCGAAGATAAGAGGAGGAAAAAACGGCCGACGACCATTTTGGAGAAGTCAGGTCATTCAAAAGATTGATATTAAAGGAATTAAAGGAGCATATTTTTTTTGATTGGATTAAAAACATCTTCGCCCTCTTTAAAGATTCAAGATTTTTTTACATCTGGTTTTTCTAGCAATTAGGATATACTCCTCTTTGAATTTATCCGATGAAATTATGTAATTGAAAAGATCCACTCTAGATTATTTATTTTTCGTAAATGTCGCATCGTTTGTTCCATAAAATGTACAGAACTTTACTTCGTAATGTTCTCGTTGTATCTATTAAAATTTCATTTGACGTCAGCGAAACGACAAAGTTCACGTTTCATATCCACGTAGTAACAAAATATTGACTCTGATCTATTATTAAGATCGAAATTTCGAAATAGATTATTATATATATATACGTTCCAAAATTAATTATTCAAAATTAAAAATCTGAATCCGTTCAAAACATGAAAAAATTACAAATTTCTGCATCATAATTTTTTTTCATATCGTCGGGTCACATTCTTGTCTTCCTATGCAATTTCCAGAGTAGAATGACGTGCATACGATATAGCTTACGAAAGGATCATCGCTCAAGCCGAATACAAATGTCCTCTCTGTGTCACGGCTGATAATTCCGTAGCTATAACGCATCGAAAGCTCTGTGCAAATGTTACTTCGAGACCACGTGTTTAATAAAAATTATTGCATTGCGTGTAAAAATACCTCTTTGAAAGGAATCGTTTCAAAAGAATAAATTAAAAAAAAAAAACGAAATTTTCAATCAACAGCGCAATATCTAACACGAGTGTTTCCATAATTGCGATCACGTTCTCTAGACGTGAACGATCGTCGTGTCGTGTCGGCGAACTTTCATCGAAAACTCCGTCCTCGAGGACGTAGAATCCCGAGATGCGCGGCAACGCACAGTTAGTAAATCGACGCGCACACCTAATCCACCGATCATGTTGTTCCTTCCAACCACCCAACCTTTGTTTCCTTTGCACTTCGTTATCCTCGCTCTCACGTTGTTTCCCATCGAGCTTCGGAAAAGCTGCTCGGAAAATATCGCCCTCCTCGATCCATATTATTTCCTTCCTACGTACATTGCACTTCACATCTCCTCGTCCCTGCTCTTCCATTCTATCCACTCATCTCTGCGTCTATCCAAGTGCATTGACAACAATATTTCCTTTCGTCTCTTCTCGTATTCTTTCTTTTAAATATATATATATATATTTCCATTCCATTCCATTTCTTCGCTTTTTTATTCGCTCATCGAGTTTTACTAACATTCCAAAATTCTATTTTGCATTTTTATTCGCTCCATTCATTACCTTTATCTATATCTATCTTTCCGTTATTGACGTGCATCGATGACAATATTCCCTCGTTTCATTTTCGTATCCACCTTTGGTCGCGATACATTTCCACTTTTTATTCACTCATCCATCTACTCTCCTTCCCATTCTCTCTTCCACCGATGCAATAACACCAAGGCAACACCCCCCACCCCCTCCATCCTCAGATCCACTTCCCTCATCCACTTCGATCGAATTACATCTCCTTTTTATCACTTTTCATCCTTTCCATTCTTCCTCCACGCTCCATCCATCCATCCATCCATCCATCCTCTCGCCACCCCCAATAACAACAATATTTCATCCATCCTTTCACTTTCTCCCCCGCCAACAACAAATTCCCCTCCCCTCCCCCTTTCCCCATTTCATTCATTCCCCACTCGCCCACACGATCCGCAACACCTTGTGCGCGCAT